TATTGCAGAATAGAACTAAAGTTTGCACTTCTTACATCATTAGATAGCATGAAACCTCAAAATTTTAGGCTCCCACCCCCTGAAAATTAACCAAGCATTTATTTTCAAACAATTTCACTGTAATATTTCATCAATTTTTATTGATAAATCATCCTCCAACTACTTTATCATGTGATCCCTTCTGTTCATAATCTTCACTTGCCAGTTTGTTACTGCTACATGTGGAAACCATTGTCATCATTCCTGCACTCATGTGTTGATATTCTTGGCATATACCCATGGAAACATCTTCCTATTCTACAGTCACTGCCCTCCAGCCCTCATTAACCTTCTCATAATTTTCCACTCATATTTTAATCCTTTTATTTCCCTGAAACTTTGTTTCTTAGGTCTCTTATTTTATAATTTCTTCTATTATTTTTTATTAGAGAACATGCTACTATAGTTCATATATTTTTCAGCTATTATTATACCAACCCGAATGTGCCAAGGAGTTATATTTCTTTTTGCTCTCTTAATTAGCCATCAGAGATTCCAAAATTGTTTTCTGGGCCCATTTGCTGTGTATTGAGTTTATTGAGTAAAATATACATAACATAAAATGTACCGTTTTTAAACTTAAAGTTCGGTGGCATTAAGTACATTAATGTTATGCAACCATCACAATAATTAGGAATTATTTTTTGAAGATGCTCAAGTTTTGGGATGGCCACTTTTCTTTCAATAGTGAGTCCATTCAATTAGAATTTCATATTTTGCAGGTCACATTATTTTTAATTCTTAATTCTGGTAAAGTGAAACCTTTCAACTATTCAAAATTATGGCTATTTAGCAGTAATACAACAGTTAAAAAGCACTGTATTTATGCAGAGATTGACAATTTTAGGCCTAGCAGTATTCACTCATCATTGTGACTCAAATCAATGAGAATTTAATAGACAATGGCATTTAATAGACTGAACTGTCTCAGAGCACATCAAACTCCAACTCCAGCTTTGCAGCAAATTCAGCAAGCAAAGATAGTGAATGACTCTCAACTTCAATGTCAATAATTTCACAAAAAAAAGAATATACTTTCTTGCACACATAAATCCAAATATGACCCATGACTGCAGGCTTCAGAATTACTTTGGGATTTATATATTTAGCTCCAAATCTTCCAAGATCTTAACAGTGCCATAGAGAAATTTTAGATTAGGGTCTCTTCAAAATAAGTCACAGATTAGTAGGACAAGTTTGAGAACTCACATGTGCCTTAAGGTTCCCACCGCAATGACACTGCTCTCAGAATGTAAAACATGATTTATACTCATCAAAATCTATAAGATTCTTCTGAATTATGAATTCATTTCCACTAAAGAACTGGGTAACCTTTCCCAATCTGTGAATTACAGTGGTTTTTTAAAAGGTCTGTGGTTCCATTGAGTTCCAAATGAGTATTGTCTCTAATTGTTCCCTATTTGATCCATATGTTTAATTTCAGACTGAATACTCTCACCTTCAACAAATCATTAATATCCTTATTTGAAGAGTTTTTTGTCATTTCAAGTTTAGAGTGTTTGGATAAGAAATACAATTCTGTGGGTTAAGGAAGTTCCAACAATTCAAATCTCTGTGAGCACTTCATTCTCAGAATTCTTTGATGTGAGGAAGCAGACTGATAATTCTGTTCAATATCCATAATTTAGTTTTTTAAAATTGAAATACACATTACTTAAGGCTACACGCCTTAAAAAGGTCACAATTTTGATATACAGCAGGCCCTTGAATAGTATTGTTTCCTTCAATATTTTCATTATAATGTTGATGAAAAAAAGAATTAGGGCCCACAGTTAACTAACTGACATTTATCAAGAACCTGGTCTCATGAAACATCAATTTCCTTAAAGTTACAATTTCCAAGAACCTATCAACATTAAATGAGGACTTACCATAATTTATCATATTATGTAATATACTTAATCACCAATTTTCGCAGTACACACTCTCCTTATGTAGGATGTGCTGGAACTAGGCTAACCAACTAGCTTTATCCCTCTATTATATTTATGGAAAATAAACTCAGCTTTCTATGTTAGATAATATCCCACAAATTCCTTGCACACATATAGTTTATGTGTGCTTGCTCATCAAGAAGAAAAATATATTAGCAACCTAAGTGAGTCACACGCCAGAGTCTGATGGAATATATTCGGTTTGAGGGTTACATGTTGGGAGCCCCTAAATACATTGGAGGCATTTTTTCTAAAGCCAGCTTTTTCAGATGACCAGCAGGTCCTGAAAAAGGCTAAACAAGAATAATCTCCCAGGACCAGAGTAATATAAAGGGAAATCAACTTCTAGATAGGAATGGGAAAACTGAGGTAAGAGACAAAAACTGCCTTCTTTTTCTTACTTAATTGCATGCTTGATTCCAGTTGGACCATGATGTTCTATCTTCAAGGTCATAAAGGGTATTACATTTAGTGAAGTCAGACAAAGACATACACCATATGACTTCACTCACTGTGGTAAATAAACAAATGAAAGAACTAAATAAAACAAAAATAAATTTTGAGACTATAAGAACAATTAGTGGTTACCTGAAGGGAACAGCGAAGAGGACTGGGTGAGCTGGGGGAAAGGAGTGAACTCTATGGTGAATGACAGAATTGGACTTTAACAGATGTTGATTTAAAGTGATGTGCACCTGAAATTTATACAATGTTGAAATTTTACTTCAATTAAGAAATTATAAAACAGGGCCTCCCTGGTGGCACAAGAGGCTAAGCACCGCACTATGAAGCAATCCACAGCCTCTGCAGCACGAGTTCGACCCCCAGCCAGCCAGGGAGAACCCCACATGGCGCAGCAGACCTCTCCTGACTCGCCCTCTGCTCCCCTCAGCAGTGTATTTCAGTCAGTCTGCCTTTTCTGTTCCCCACTCTGTCTCTGGTGAATCCTCTCACCTCCCACATCTCTGGCCTGTACCCTAGCTATTGTATGCATAAATAAATAAATCTTTAAAAAAAAGAAATTATAAAATAATTTTAAAGTATCTATTTAAAAAAAAGATAGTAGATTATTTCCTCAGGGTCTGTACTCAGAACAGAAAAGAGCTGATACACCACTTCTCCCTGATTAATCTTCTTTTAAAGAATGCTGCGATTCCAAGTGGGAAAAACAATACAAATAGAAACTTTCTCAACAGATGGAAGTATTGTAAGGGACTCCTGTACCCACTCACATCTAAAAGTTTCAGACATATCTCTTGAGCTTAAAAAAAAATGTAGTACACACACACACACACACACACACACACACAATTTCCTCTATAAAATGAGCTGCATATTCAAAAACTGGAAGTTGGGGGGGCCAACATTAAACATTAAGATAGGGTTTCAAGAATAAAATGATTTACAATGAGTATTGCCAGAATTTGTTATACTCTAGAGGCAGGTGTATTTATGTGTTTTCAACATATTTTGTTAATGGCATCTTTGATTGAAGAATCTGAAAGACTGAAGTTTTATCTCAATATTTTGTCTACCTAGTCCATGTCATATGAACAACTGTGTTAAACTAAAAAGTACTTCTTGATATGCTTTCACATTTTTCTAGAGTCTTTAAGATGAAATTGTGATTAGAGGTAAAGAGTTCAGTGGTTTTCTTTACCTTGTTAAAATCCAGTTCTGTTTTTCAGAAGTATAAATGGAGATCACTTTCAAATATTCTTTATTACCCTAAAAATATGTGACATTTGAGACCTATGGATAGTTGTAGCTCTCAATACAAATAACTCCCAAATAACTTCAGGAATTAGGAGTTATTTTTTCTATTTTTAGGTTTTTCGGTTGGCTGGTTGGGTGGTTGGTTTGTAAGCTAAGGGTTTTATATAAGCAGAAGAAAAATAGGTTTTAAATGTGGACTTGGAAGGATAGGGGCCTTGAAAAAAATAAGAAGTACATGCAAGAGGAAATGGCTATCTACTTCCAATCTCTAAAGTTATCAATACAAGAACACAATAGTCAGCTTTGATGTCAAAAAAGAATTTGTAAAAATCTAGTTGGATAATAGTGATTTGATAATGTTTAGCGTTACCTAACACCTTCAGTAATAAATCTTAGTCTTACATGGAATATAACTACTCCTAACAGAACTCAAGCAGACTCCCCCAAAAAATTAAACTTGGTTTAAATTAAAAAAACAAGCTCAGAAGAATGAAACAATAGCTGATTCTCAACTATAACTTTGACATGGCACTTGAATCTCTTAGAAAACAATTATAAAGCTATTCTAAAATCTTTATATGTCACATAGACTTTCAGGTATTGTCACAGATACATCTTTCAGATATTCCTAAAGTCTTGATTTCATATAGTGTCCCATTGTCACACATATATCAAAGATTTTGAAAACTGTATCATTTTACATGTTCCTTATTCCCACTGGAAGTTGACATAAAGATTATTACAACTCCCATTTTATAAGCAAGGTTTGTATATCAGAGATAAATTCAGGATTATAGGACAAATCCAGAACTCCAGACTCCTGGTTCAGTACGCTCTCTGAATATACTCCACCTGCTGTTGTCTGGCGTACCTTTTTTTTAAAAAAAAAAAAAAAAAGATTTATTTATGCATGTAAGAACTGGGGTACAGGCCAGAGGTGTGTGTGGGGGGGAGAGGATTCACCAGAGACAGAGTGGGAAACAGAACAGGCAGATTGACGAAATATACTGCTGAGGGGAGCAGCGGGCAGTCAGGAGAGGTCTGTTGCACCATGTGGGTTAGCTCCCTGCCAGGGATCAAACTCGTGCTGCAGTGGCTGCGGATAGCTTCATAGGTTGCGTCTTAACCCTTTGCACCACCAGGGAGGCCCCTGTAGACTGGGCTTCTTTCATGTTGGTGTAGTAGCCTCCAAATTCACCACCACATAATTTAAAAACCACAAGTTTGGATTTGGAAATAAAAGTTTATTAGTTATAAACTGTTAAAACATATAACAATAAAATGGTGTGGATCAATAGCTAATAAAGGTTCTAGTCAATGAATAACTGGCAGAAATCATCATATATAAGGATATAACTATATGGTCACAACTTCCCACACACTTTACCAAATCATACAGGGATACAAACTTGTGCTTCCTGATTCAGTGCCACCTCCTAGACCATCTACCTTTGTTTTCAACATTTAAGTCTGACTCAAAATGATGAGCCTGTCTCCTTCTCTATCATACCATGTCATACAAGATTCACTTTGGTGTTGGTCTCAAGAAGATCCACAAAAAGACTAGTTTGGATAAAGAACTAGCCACTCTCTCCTCTCTCCTGGAAGAGGGATGCAGAACTCTAATCAAAGTATCCAATCAGTAGACTGCCAAGTTAATTGCTATATCTGTCTAATTAGGTATTTAAGTACATGACTTGTATCAATTCCACCCAGTTATTTCTACATTATCAACAAAATCTCAACAATTTTTATGACATCTCTAAAATCAACAACTTAGGGCTGGCTAATTTACAAACGAGAAAAAGTGACTTGGTTCATAAACCTCCTTAGGAACTAACTATACTATATTGTAATAAAGGAACTAACTCTTTACTATAAACAGCTATAGTACTCTCGACAACTAATTATTTTTCTGCTCTCTCCTGAAAATACCCTCCCTACTAGTTTATGCTCCTATATATTTTCTTACTTCCTACACTTATTTCTTATCGCTACTTATTTTACCTCTAATTATTTCTTAGAGTATATATACTTAATAAAACCCCAATCCATTACTTGCAGCAGGGTTACATCTTAACAATTCTTAAACACATATGATTATACAATCAAAGCAAACATTGCAATATTTTTTATCTAATCTTGAGGTGCCATTATGGAACAATCTTTCCAGGTGACCTATGAGGTCACCTAAGGGCTATGATAACCATTAGTCATTCTATAGGCTGGTTTGAGTCTTAACTTGTTTCATGGTCTGTCTGGAGTAATCACAGATTTTACTTGCTGCATTTTGATGACCTGCTTGAATTAGAATGGTTGCTTGTGTTCTCTCATTAGTGCTAAGTTTTAACAAGCTCACACTTATCTATTGTGAAATTGTTATAAAGTTTACATTCCAGAATTCCACTTAGAGGAATAGCTACCATTCAGTATCTATTGCATCCAAGGAACTCCAGATCTGCTTATTTACATCTAAATTACTCACCAAGTAGAATCTGTGGTGGAATCATGGCCTCTCATTTCCTCATCATGTTTAAGCACTGTGGAACTTTCTCATACTAGTATGTTTGAGTAACTCCCTAAGTTCCAATTTTCAAAAGGGTCAACAATAGTTTTTCTTCATCCAGCAGTCTCTCAAAGTTATGCTAAACAAACTTATCCCGAAAGTCAGTGGCAAAACTGACTCCTGATACTACTTATCCAAATAAGACCTAGTTATATAGTCCATTATTTCCCCCCTTTACCTTTAAATGAGGGCATGTAGCCCTCATTTAGTATTACATGCAGCATCTGTCACATTGGTTAGCTCAGAGGTCAACTTTATTAAATGCCTTTTTAATTCCTTTGACTAAAACATGCTTTAGGACTCTATAGTTGTCCCCCCTTATCCATGGAGAATACATTCCAAGGCCCTCAGTGGATGCCTGAAACCACAGACAATCCTGAACCCTATATACTGTATTTTTCCTACACATACATAGCTATGATAAAATCTGATTTATAAATTAGGCACATTAATAACAATAAAATGGAATGACTATAACTATCTTATAATAAAAACTATGTGAATGTGCACTCATGTGCACTCTCTTTTTCTCTGTCAATGTACGTTTGGGCACAGCTGACCACAGGTTGGCGGGGGTGGGGGGGGTTGTTGTATATGAATCAGTGGAGTTTGGTTTCTACCAGTGTAGATTGACTTCTGCATGTCATTTCTTCACAATTAGCATATATGACTTTATCCAATGGTACACTTTTAGGTCTTTGCCTAGTTGCTATTCATGTCATAAGATGCAAAAGCCATTTTCTAGGAAGACTATAGTTTCCATGGGCTTGACTGAAGGATAGCTATTTTTCCAAATGGAAACGATGGTACTATATGACACAGAATTAGTATGATCAGTGAATTTTTGACCCATTTCCTTGGTCCCTGTCTATTTGAGTGTGGGATTCCCCCAACTATTGCATTTTCCCCTTCTCGTATCTGTAGACTTGTTAGTGTTAAAGACCAGCCCACATTTTAAGTTCACTATTTTCCCCTTATCTCTATAGTTAAGATTTCTATCAAGGTTACAACAGGTTCATTATAATAAGCCTATCAATTATTCTCTATAACTTAGCTAAAACCAAGAAAAAATACCTTATGAACTACTTGTGGACAATCATCTCTAAGCCTATGCCTTAAGTGTTTAACTTTCCATTGGTGACTAGTCCTAGTCAGGCTTTGTCCAGCCTTTCCGATACTAGTACTTTTCTCTTGTTGTTATTTAGTATAATTTATCATTTCCACTTAGGGAACAATATTATAGAGTAGCTGCACTGTAGGTAAGCATGTGGGTGAACAGCCCTGCATTGAAACCGCTTGACCTCAGCTTTTTCAAAGGTTTTCTCTGGCAAAAGTTATCTGAAAACCTGTTTGCAGTTTTCTTATCTAGTAGATGTTGCCTTTTCAGAAGTATTTCCCCTATTCAGCTGTAACAGCGTGTGGTTGACACAGTCTCTCATAAAGTCATTAAATCTCTCATAAGGCATTACATCTTCTCCAATAAAAGTGCCTCAATATTGTTCTGTTAATGTGAACATATTCACTATACAGATTTCCCACATTATCTGAAAGTAGACTTTTCCTATAAAATTTTTCATAAATCAAAATGGCATAAAGCAAAGCAGCAATTACAATTTATATAGAAAAAAGTTTGAGTGTTCCCAGACCCCAAAAAATAACCTACCAAATACCACACACTACCTACAATAACAGAAACATTAGTAAAAGCAAGAATGATACAAATATACAGCCTGTATGTTGTTTCAAATGGCAAGATTCATCTCTCTTTATGACTGGGTAATGATTACCAAAGAGAAAGGTTGGGGGAATGGGGCAGAAGGAGTCAACTGGTTTTTGGTGGATGGTGACTAGACATCTGGTGTTGAGCATGGTATTGCTGTGGTAAGAACTGTACACTTAAAACTTATACTGTGTGGCAAATTAATATTACCTCGGATTTTTTAAAAAGAAATATAAAAAAGAAATATATAAATAAAAGAAATATAAGATTTTTTAAAAAAGAAATATATACAGCCTATATAAAATAGTTCCCAGGGAAGAAGTTTGGTGCCCCCACCCTTGCTGCTAGGGTATGCATTGCTTTTAGAACAGCTGCTGCAAAACCAATACTAAATGCTACTTTTGCTTTTTGCCTTTTATCATAAAAGCAAAAATATATTTCAGATTTCTTTTGGCTAGCAAAAACAGTTACTAATGTAAGTCTTTTTTGAAAAAGAAGTGGGATAACATGAATCTATGAAAATGGGGGAAATACCTAAAATACATCTTGGAGAATACTCCCCTTTTAGTTTCTACTCATTGTAAAACAGTGAAATTGGGTCCCAAGATATCATAGAGTTCAACAGGTCTTTATTCCTCAGTTAGGTGTAGAATTTTTCTTTGTAATTGTTTGCACAGGAATCATAGCAGGAAAAGTATAGGCAAAGGAAGAACCACGTGACTAAGTCAGAGCTTTTAAATGAAATCAAAAGAAGAGAATAAGCTCTACTGGAAGTATAGCAAATACTACTACTTCTATGTGGTGTTAGTAATGAAAATGGGCAGAACTAGGAGAAAACTCATGTCTAATATGCAGAAAAATCAGAATATGTGTAAAACAGAGAACTGATCAATTCTCACATGCTGGTGAGGGCAAACTAGGTCTTATCCACTTCTTAACTCATTGTTCATACCAGAGAGTACATCTTCATATAATTCTTCTATGTCTAACATGGCTTCATCTATATCAAAGATTAGATCTTCATCTGCTCTTGGTGTAAGTATTGATTCTAAGTCTAAGAAATCAGCAAGATCTGGTAATGCTTCCTCGGGAGGACTTGCTTCTATCTGTTCTGCTCTATCATTCTGCTCTACATAAGAAACTCGTTCTTGCGAAATCAATGGTAAAAGCTCTTCAGCTATTCTTATTAACTGAGATATACAATCAACAAGTCCACCAACTATTACAGGGATTGACACAGACTCCATCCCTCGTTGCTCTTCTCAGTAGATAAAATATTTCTAAAAGTTGCCGCAAATGGGTTCTTGATGACAACGGAGCTTGTGAAGTTGGTAATAGTTCTGTGGTTGGCTTGGTCGAGAAATTGGGCTATTGATATGCTTATGATGGTGGTCAAGCACAGAGTGATACCAATGATCCAACAACACTTTTTGATATTGCTGAACCTCCCACAACGTTTATATATGAAAATCTTGTTTGTACTTGTAGTGAACTGTTATAATGACCATCAGATTGTCACAGCCAAGAGAAAACAGCAAAGCAGATCTAATAATAGAAAAGAGAAATATAAAGATTAGTATCCTTCAGTCTTTATCCATCCTACCGGTTGAAAGGATAGCCCCAGCTACCATTCTTCTTTTTTGATGATCTTATGAGGATATTTTACTCATACTCATTTTCCTTTACAATTCTCATGGTCTTTCTTCTTAGACATTTTAAGAACATAGGAAATTTAAGAACATTTAAGACAATTTAAGAACACAGTGAGCATAGGTAGTTTGTCCATCTTTCTTGAACATGTCTACTGAAGATTCATTCACTCAGTCTCTTTCAATTATCTTTCTTAGCTTTCTGCCTTGGCACCATTTATATTTGATGTTTCAAAATTATTTCTGTGTTCTTAATAATCCATTCATTCACGTTTTCAATTGTGCCTGCATCCTGGGGAATTTAGGGTAAATGAAAGACCCACATCTTCTTTTTTCAAATGTTGAACAACTTCTGTGATAAAATTGGTTTCATGATCATTTCCTATGACTCCCAATATTCCATATTTGGAATCCAGTTCCTCCAACTTTATCTAAAGCAAGGGTCATAATTACGCTCACCTGCATGTCTGATATACTCTGCAAACCCTCTTACTGAGTAAACTTATACTTCCATAAGGCAATATTCTTATTAAAAAAAATCTAGGTATTCGCCAATGTAATCTGTCATATTTGTCTGCTTTACCACCCACCACCCCCTTAAAAATGAGTTTACTGAGGTTGCAAGTTTTTAGTAATTTGATATATCTCATATTGGTTATTCATTTGTTTTATAGTTTTATTTTTCAGCCTTTCTCCTCTGTTCACCTAGGACATTCATAGTCATATATGCCTCAAGGTTTCACATGGCAATTCTACAACCTTAAACTGAACTAACAAGGGAGATGAGTTGGGAATTGGAGTCCCCAAAAGTGCAGAGTCTATATTAGTTTTGGGGGTCAGACTGTCTTCTCTTTTATTCTACATAGATTATTCTTTCTGTCCTGGTGAGCTAGTACATGTCTTATATGAATTGCTAAATTCCTTTCATTGATTTCTTTTTTTAAAATTTTCTCATAATTTATATTTTTTATTTATATCTTTTACATCATTGTGTATTACCTGTAAAATTCCTACCACCAGTTCACCTGTGAACTTTCACCATAGTCCCTTGTGCTCTTCTCTCCCCTGATTTCTTTTATCTCATTTCCCCACATTGATTTGCCTGCAATAGTCTAGTCAGTAATTTTCCATCTATTAAAGTATGTATCTCTACTACATGACTGATAAATATAGATAGATAGATAGACAGACAGACAGACAGATAGATAGATACATTTGGCTACCAGTCCTGCAAATCTGACTGATTTCCTCTCTCCAGCCTCAGTCAAGCTTTTCTTAGCAGGAAGTATTAGGAATCAGCCATCCATCTCACTCCTTTAGGATGCTGCCAAATTGATTATTGCCCTGTTCCCAGCAGTTCTGACCACAGTGGAGCCCAGCAAGCCATAGCTAATCGTACTCCTTAGGCCTTTATTGGAGTACAGAAAAAATCATTAGCCAAATGGTCTGTGATTTCACATGGAGCTTGCTGGTCTCCACAGGGCCTGGGTTGACCCACTCAGTTATATACCATCTCTGCTTAGCATAAGTCTTGTCAGACCACACATTTTTGGCATCCAAAATCCTGACAATAGACATGGAGTTTGCCCTGATAAGTCACAATCATGATGACCCGAAGGCAAGATTTTGGTTGAAGGCAATGGTCCAGCTGAAATAAGGGAAAATAGGTACTAGAGGCATAATACTTTATTAACTCAAAGGAGAACTGCTTTTTGATTAGAGAAAAAACAGTCTGGTGGAAGGAAATAAAGAAAATAAATCATGACAGGAATTTGGCATTAATGTAGAGCATAAATCATCTCATCACAGTGGAAAGAGAGAAGAAAGGTTGTGTGTTGCATATTACTAGAGAGCACCATCACATTTTTCAAAGAAAGCAATAACCTACTGTGATGGCCACAATCCAAAGGCACACAAATGTTGACAGGAGCACACTCACAAAAAAAAAAAACCTATTTAACGCTGGCTTCCCTTTCACCTATTTTCCCCCTCAGCTTCTCTGTCTCCCTCTAGGATACTTTTACTCCTCCTCTTGGTTGATATGAATTTCATTCTGTTTTTTTTCTATATGTCTCCATTCCTGATATCTTTTTTACCATCTCTCTCTAAATCTAAAAATTTAGAAATGAACAATACATGTTTACCAAACTAATAGTATATTCATAGTTTTATATTATACAATCTGAACATAAAAAGCAGAGAGGAAGAGCATTTCATATTTTGCTCTTATAAAGACAAGTTAATACTTATGCAACCCTTGATTTCTTTTTTTGATCACTTGGTCACCTATGAGGAGAAAAATTGCTGACCTAGCCTTAACCCTTTTGACCACTGTGTCAGCGAATCTACAAATCATCTTGGAACCTAGGAGCTGGGAAGTGCAGGGAGGGCAGAAAGGTTATTAAGAAACTGCTAAGTACTGTAGAAAGAGTAATAAGAAAGAGTAAGGATCTAGCACTAGCTTATTCCAGTTATGGTCATTTCCAAAGCACCCAACCCCTAACACCTTAGTTTGCTTAAAGGAGTATTTTATATCATTTATACCTAACCCCAAATCAATTTAAGGGCCTTATTATTAGCTAATCCATTTGCCTGCATTCCTTTTCCCCCAGAACAAAAAATGGCTTCTTATCATTCTGGTCTCAGATTAAATATCATCTCCTCAGATTTCTGATCCTCCAACCTGAAAAAGTCCTGTAAGCATTCCTTTCTCATTATGTATACAGTGCATTTTTGCATTATGGTATACCTATAATTACCTCATTATTTTCTTATTTGTTTTCTGTCTCCCACCTTACCCCCACATACATAATATAGACTAAAATGATTCATATTTCACTATCTTATAAAGACAAGTTATTACTTACGTGATCCTTGATTTCTTTTTTCGATCACTTGGTCACAGGTTAGGAAACCTGTCTATGTTGTTTTCTGATGTATGCCCAAGTCACAAAAGAGAGGGTGCCACACGATAGGTAATCAGTTAGTGTGACTGAATAAAGAAAGGAGGGAAGGAGGAAGGAAGGAGCAACTTTTAACTTTTTCCTTCAGTAAATATTATCAATTTTCAATCATGCATGAGATCACAGGGGTATAGAAAGGTAAACCAACTCATCAAAACACACAGTTAATAAAATAAACAAGCAAGCCAGACTTGAAAAAATATTCACAAATACATATTTGACAAAGAACTTGTAACCAGAATATGTAAGTTCAGTCATCAATAATAAAAAGATGGGGCCTCCCTGGTGGCACAAAGGGTTAAGCACTACACTGTGAAGCAAACCACTGCTTCTGCAGCACGAGTTCGACACCTGGCTGGCCAGGGAGAAACCCACATGGCAAGGCAGACCTCTCCTGTCTCGCTTGCTGCTCCCCTCAGCAGTGTATTTCAGTCAATCAGCCTGTTCTGTTCTCCACTCTGTCTCTGGTGAATTCTCTCACCCCCCACTTCTCTGGCCTGTACCCCAGCTCTTGTATGCAAAAATAAATAAATCTTTTTTAAAAATAATAAAAAGACAACCCAATGTAAAAATGGATAAAAGTATTCAACATTTTACCAATGAAGAAAAATGAATAGCTAATAAGAATATTCAATTTGAAAGTCTCATTGAATATGAAAATATATTCAACATCAGTATTCATCACAGAAAGCAAATTAACATTACAACATACTCACTAAACTAGCTAAAAGTTAGACTGACAACACCAAATGTTGACAAATATGTAGAGCAATCAGAATTCTCACCTATTGCTGGAGGGAATGTAAAATGGTATGCTTTCTTTGAAAATGTTTGGCAAGCTCTCATAAAACTAAGCATAACTAAGTATACACCTATGTATGTCTCAGCAATTCCACTCTAAAATATTTTATCCAAGAGAAATGAAAGTTAACAAAAATAATTTACAATGGCTATTAAAAAAAGATTATGTAACTGACACACTTTGGAAATAGAAGTATCGAAAACGAGAATGATTATAAGCAGATTTATGCACAATAGCCACAGAAAGTGGGAAAAGTACAGGTGTCAATCAAAAAATAGATAAACTGGTGTAGTCATACAGTGTGATATTAAATAGCAATAAAAGGAAAGCCACTTCTTATAAGGTCAGCATGGGTAGATATAAAAAGCATTACAATTAGTGAAAGAAGTCAAATCCAAAAGAATATATACTATATAACTCCATTCATAAGCAATTCTAGAAAATGCAAAATAATCTATAGTGGAAAAAATTTAAATAACAATTGCATCTAGAGGAGTGGGAACTGATTGGGAAAAGGGATATGAGAACTTTCTAGGGTCATGGTAATGATCATATTTCAGACAGAGTTTGGCACTGCAAAGGAGTATGCATTTGTGAAAAGTCATTAAATGACACCAGAGATTTGTATACTTTGCTATACATAAATTTTACTCCCCCCAATGTAACCAAACTTAATCTCTAGTGTCAAGAAATATATATAAGATGAGATGAGATGTCCATAAACAAGTTTTCTCATCAATGTTCACATTTGTGGAAGACCTACTATGAGTCAAGCACTATGAAACGCACTTTTCTTATATTAGTATATTTGATCCTCACAATAACCCTGTAAGGCTCAGAGAAATTAAGTAGCTTGTGCATGGTTATATGGTAAGTAGAGGTGTACAACCAGCTCCAACTCCTAAACTATTATGCCAGAGAGCACAAATTCAGATGTGTACACGAGAAAAACTTACCTTACTTGGGCCAGAGCTGACATCTCATTCTAAGGAGGAATAGAACTGAAACTGATAATCTCATTAGCTGAAATTCCAAGTTGATTGTGACCTCTATGGCAGACAGATCCCTATTGTTGGCTGTGCGAGTTGTGTTCATTTTATCTCCCCTTCAACCTAACTGGCCCTAAGACTCATGAACTACTCACCTGTGATAGAGTCGAGGATGAGTCAAGATTTTGCCTCCTAAACCTTTTCCAGACTTATGCTTTCAAATTGGAAGTAAATGCCCCGGTCGCAAGAGATAGGTTGAAATATATCCGTGAGCTGTGGAAACAAGGACAAGACGAATTAAAATTTCTGAGAACAAAGGGCCCTTTCCTAAGTGAGGTGGCTCTTTTCTTCACTGGACATTCACTAACTCTGAAGTCACCCAAATGGAAGCCAGGGTTCGGCCCCAGGGCGGAGCGGGGGGACTTTACTAAGGAAAAGTAGACATCCGCTTCCCTTTTTTATTTTTTAAAAGTTTTATCGAAGTAACCTTTGTTTAACGCACTGTACATGATTTAGGGAACTACAGGTACACACGTCCTGAGGTGCAGAGCACCACACTGCCCCAACACCAAAGCACCCCATAAGCGTCCTTTGTTCTCATCCCATCCCCACCCCCTCTAAGTGTGTTGATTTGCCTTCAGATTTCTAGGATTTGTTCTGGTTTCATCCTGTTTCCTTATCTTCTACTGAGAGCAGAATGGAGTGCAAATCTGAAGCCCAGCCCAAAGGGCTAGGCTAGTTCTCTCACCTGCAGTTGGCCGAGTTCTAGGCTGGCGCCACACAAAGGGCTTTAGTCACAGTCTCGCGGTACTTCGGAGAGCCACTCGCCAGAGGGAGGGGCTGCCAGGCGCGCTACCGGGTTCTTCCTCCAATAGCCACCTAGGTTTTGAAGTTGGAAGAGGTGGGGAGGCTGATGAGTTAGGAAATCCAAAACCATCCTCAAAGGGCGCTTAAGACAAAGAGGTTTTACAGGGTGGGAAGAGCACGAGGGACCACAGTGATCGTTCACGGGTGAATGGGTGGTGGGACTTTCACGGGGACTATAACCGAGAAGAAAATGCATACTTTGTACAAAAATTAAAAATTATATTAAAAATCTATAAAATTTAAAAAACAAAGTGGTGGACCTCCCTGGTGGCGCAGCGGGTTGAGCGCAGCGCTGTGAAGCTGTCCGCAGCCTCTGCGGAGCTGGTTCATTCCCCGCCAGCCAAGGAGATTCCCACATGGCACAGCAGACCTCTCCTGCCTTGCTCGCTGCTCCCCTCAGCAGTGTCTTCGGTGCGTCTGCCGGTTCTGTTCCCCGCTCTGGCTCTGGTGAATCCTTTCACCCTCTCGCGCATCTGGCCTGTACCCCAGTTCTTGTATAAATAAATAAATAAATAAATAAAAATAAATCTTAAAAAAAATTTAGAACTTCCATATATCAGAGGTTATTTTAAGAGGGTGAAAAGATCAACCACTGACTGGGAGAAAATATTCATAATACATGTATATATATATATAAAGTATTTGTATTCCAGCACATACATATTTTTTTAAGATTATTTATACAAGAGCTGGGGTACAAGCCAGAGGTGTGGGGGGTGAGAGGATTCACCAGAGCCAGAGCGGGGAGCAGAACAGGCAGACTGACTGAAATACACTGCTGAGGGGAGCATAGGCAAGAGAGGAGAGGTCTGCCACGCCATGTGCGTTGCTCCTAGGCCCGCCGGGATCCAACCAGCGTCACAGAGGCTGCGGGCAGCTTCACAGCGCTGCGCTCAACCGCCTGCGCCACCAGGGGAAGCCCTATATACATATATTTTTAAACTGTTTCAAATTGATAAGAAAAAAACAAACAACCCAATTTTTAAAAACAGAAAAAAAAAATTGAAGGGCATTTCTCAGAAAAGAAAACCAAATGGCCTACAAGCATATAAACAGGTGCTCACCACTGTCACTCTTCAGGACAACGCAAATTAAAACTACAATGAGAGGGCCTCCCCGGTGGCACAGCGGTTGAGCGCTGGGCTGCAAAGCTACCCGTAAGCCTCTGCAACGCCGGTTCGATCCCCGCTGGCGAGGGTCCCACATGGCGTGCAGACCACAAACCTCTCCTTCCACGCCCGCTGCTCCCCTCAGCAGTGTACTTCGGTCCTTCTGCCTGCTCTGCTCCCCGCTCTGGCTCTGGTGAATTCTCCCGCCCTCCCGCGCTTCTGACTGTACCCAGTGCATGTATAAATAAATAATTAAATAAATCTTTAAAAAAACTACAATGAGATACACAAAACTCCACCAAAATAGCTAAAATAGGAAAAACGGACACTATCAAGCATTAAGAAGGACACGGAACCACTGAAACTTACTAGTAGTAAAAGTGTTAACTAGTAAAACTATCTTGGAAAACTATTTGACAATATCCTCTAAAACAAAACGTACGACAATCGCACGACCCTGCAATTCTACTCCTAATTATATAACCAAAATAAAAGAGTACGAATCTCCACAAAAAATTCATTAGCAAGAATGTTGAAAGAAATGAGATACATAAAAGTACATATCCCTTTATAGGAAATTTAAGAACAGGCAAACAAATCCGTTAGATCAGAAGTGAACACACTGATTATCCTCTAGGTGGCGCTTATGACTGGGAAGGGATATGAGGAAGCCTTCTTGGGTATCAGAAATGAATTTCCTGTGTCTTAATGTCGTGTTCTAAAAAATCATTCATCTGTATCTTTAAAAATTGTGCGCTTCACCATATGTACGCTCTCTCTCAAAAAAAATGGTTTTATTTTTATTTGGGGGTCTTCTTCCTATAAAACCAGTAAGGATAGCAAATGAGTGATGAGAGTCTTGCCGGGGCTCAGAAAGCAGCCAGTCATCACAGCCAGTGAAAATGGAATGAATGCTGAAGAGTCAGACAGGGGTCCCTATGGCGCTTCATGGAAATGCTAAGTAAAGCACGATTCTCATAGCTGGCTGGAGTTGTAAATTGAGGTCAGATGAGATAACCCACATCTTACAAGTAGCTCAGAAAGATAGCTAGGGCAGAAACCATGCTAGCCATCTGACAACTAGAATCTGTAACCCCGTAAGTTTGTATTAATCTCACTCTTACGACATTTTTGTCCTCACAACTGATCAAAACCACCACTTTCCTTGCAGCTAATAGTCCTACGCTGCTCCTTTGTGATGTTCATAACTGACCAACTAGCAATCAGTTACTAACAGTGGGATGGAAAAGGAGCAAATCCTCTGGGTCTGTTTAGTCAATAAATGTCTCTGTTTCAGGCAAGGTAAAGTAGTTCACAGCCAACGGGAACTGAGGCTGTTACATGGGATGGATTAAAATTGTGCCTTTGGAGAGTACAGAGGCCAATTTCTTATTTACAAACTAATTTTTAGTGCTCCCTTCTCCAGTGCAACAGTACCATTCGGATACATGCATTCAATGAAGATTCCTTAAAAAAAAAAAAAAAAAAAAAAACCCAGTTATTACTTCTCATTGCCATCCCCACACCTAAGAAAAACACCAAGATGTCCTTGTCCCCAAAGGGAAAATTTTATCATTTTAACATAGGAGCTGCCTGGGTGGCTAAAATGGATAAAACAACTTGATTTACTCTTTAAACCATTTTTTTTTTTATTTTAAAAGCTACAACCTTTGCCTTAAAAAGAAAAGTCTGTGCACTAAGGCATTCTGTGCACTAAGGCATTTCCCTGTTATAGGGTCTGACATTTAAAATTCCCATGAACCATCTTTAATTTATCAAGAAAGAAGGAAAAGACTTGTGCAGCTGTGGAGCTAAACATGGCTCTTTCTTGAAAATACATGAAATATTCAATACATAAAGTGGAATAAGGGGGGTATGGTCAATTTTAACCGAATTTTAGGGCCTCCCCGGTGGCGCAGCAGGTTGAGTGCAGCGCTGTGAAGCTGTCCGCAGCCTCCGCGGCGCCGGTTCAATTCCAGGCCGGCCAGGGAGATGTCCGCACGGCACAGCAGACCTCTCCTGTCTTGCCCGCTGCTCCCCTCAGCAGTGTATTTCAGTCCCTCTGCCTGTTCTGCTCCCTGCTCTGTCTCTGGTGGATTCTCTACCCCCTCCCGTGCCTCTAGCCTGTACCCCAGTGCTTGAATAAATAAATAAATCTTAAAAAATAAATAAATAAACCGAATTTTACTGATTTCCTTTCCTCTTCCTCCAAATTTGTTCACTGCTACAGAGAAAATCACAGATTCTTGCTTCCTGTCAGGAAACAAAAAATTTAGTCATGGGAGAAAAACAACCATGTTTGAAGCTATATCTCTTGGTTATTTTCTTAGACAGACAAATCATTTCCTCAAAACAGTATTCAAACATGAGGAAAGACAGCATCTTGGTTGTTGTGAGACGCCCACAGGCCCTCGGAAAGCCTGGAAATAACTATAATAATTCTAGAAATACTCTTGATTTTAAATGTTGCCAGTGCTGAGGACAGGTTCAAAAATATAGGAAATAAAAATAACTTGGAGGTAACATGAGAAAGCACTCTATTCCCAAGTCTTCCCTCATATGTCTGAAGTGGAAAAAAATTGTTTTTGTTTGTATATTTTCTTTGGAAGAGTCATTAAAAAGATGATGGTGGTTGTAAGGGCAGGATCTTGTGTCAAACAGACATGTATTTAAATTCAACTTTCCCACTTAACTGGAAAGTTGCTAACTACTTTTTGTCTCTGTTTCCTGAGCTGTAAAATATATAGATAATCACAGTTGTGAGAATTTCATGAGTTAATATATGCAGCAAGTCTAGAATGGTGCCTGGTATATAGTAAGGGCTTAATAAATACTAGCTAATATAATTGTTGTGGAGAAATTCTGGGCCCTAAAAAACAGTATGTGATACATCTTAAGAACTGACTAGAGACCCCTGGAAGGTAGGAGGGGAGACAACTACAGGCATAACAGAAACTAGAAGTACCAGAGATACAATTCATTTCATAGTTGGAAATGTGGTTTTCAACTTGAATAGATGTGAGGGAGCACTACTGTCTTGTGGCTCTAGTTCATGCATAATCCTTTCAGGAGACCTAAGGCCAATCTGGTAGAGAATGCTTGGGGACTGGTGGATCGTCCTAGCTTAACTCCTCACATCTGAAGCATTTGCTCACTCTGCATCTGAGTTCTGGCAGACTTCTCTGTACTTCAGGCTGCTCATTGCCTTTTTCTGAAATACTCTGCCAGTTGTGTGGAGCAGGCCCTCTACTTGGGAATATGGCGATGAACGTTTCACAGCTTTAACTAGTTATTCCTAAGAAACATTTACTTGGAAAGTAATTGGCAAGGCCACTGAGACAAGATAATAAAAGTGATAATAAAAGTGTGTCTAGCATGCCTTCACCTGAACCAGCCCAGATGTTTAGACATTCCTATGTGAATCATTTGGGAGCGTGATACAAATATCTTTGCATACCTTTTATCCTTTCTGATCCTTACCTGTATTCAGTACTGAGTTTCAAGAATACCCCTCTGAAATTTCACAAGAGCAAGACTAACCGCCAGTTGTGGCCTCCTCTGTTTCTGTGATAAATGCCAGCTTGCCAAGAGAGAATGGATTCTTTTTTACCATCTGGAAAGATCAGAGGTCATATACAGTTCTTACCTTCATCAGGAATGTGCTTACTGCCTATCCAGCAATGGAAGAATCTTTCTGTTTTAGTGATCTCAAAATAAGATTCTATAATCTCCTGTGGTAACTCATTCCTGCGTTTGATAATTTCCTCCTTCTGCTAATTACATCCTCAAGTAGCTTCACATACATAAACGTATCTAGTCATTACAACAATCCCAGGCAGCAAAGTTTACTCCTGTTATACAACTGAGGCAGTGAAGACCCATAGGGGATAAATGACTTGCTGAGATTACACAGCTGTTTAGTTACAAAAACGAGTAAAACAAGAGTAAGGAACTAACTCTTCTCTCTTGGCCCTCTATGTAGGCTCCTACACTGGGGTCTGCCTACTGATGCTTTGGGAACCACCAAATGTCCACAGAGTAAAAAGCTGTATAGAGAATCCAGCAAGAACACAATACAGCCATGCTGGGTGGCTTGCCAAGTGGATTGCAGGGCACCGGTCCCCTTAAGGACAGACGTTTCTTTGTCCTCATCCTTACACACTATTGTTCACAGAGTACAACTATAGTTAGAATGCTTTAATAAAAAGAAATGATACAAAAAAACCCTAAATGAACATTAAAATCACCTTAAGACCATATACTGATGCATGAAAATAAAAAGTAAGAATACTTGGCCCCTTTTTCTAACATCTCCACTTTTTTTTTTGTTTTGTTTTTAAATATCTTTTTTTTTAAGATTTATTTATTTGTTTATACAAGCACTGGGTACAGTCAGAAGTGCAGGAGGGTGAGAGAATTCACCAGAGCCAGAGTGGGGAGCAGAGCAGGCAGAAGGACCGAGGTACACTGCTGAGGGGAGCAGCAGGCGGCAGGAGAGGTCTGCACGCCATGTGGGACCCTCCTCCGGTGGCCGGGGAGCAGCCGGGGATCGAACCGGCGCCGCAGAGGCCGCAGGCAGCTTCGCAACCCAGCGCTCAACCGCTGCACCACCGGGAAGGCCCCTGTTTTTTGTTGTTTTTTTTTTTTTTTTTGCCAGAGACGAATGACTTTATTATTCATGGCAAAACAGTAGCAAGTGTATCATCATAGGCATATTGGTTTCCCAACTCCCAAAACTGCATGACATGGGAACCTGGTGGAATAGACATGCACATACAATGGGATCTTTTCTAGAAGAAAAAATTCCTGAGTTTAGGTAACACACCACTTTTTTTTTTCACACTAGCAATCAGCAATTTTTTACCAAGATATTTCTTAGTTTTATTATTTTTCATTTTTTAATTAATATTTTCTCTTATATAATTCTTACATCACATCTCCATTTTTGACCTCTGAAATAGATACAATAAATTGGAGGAAATGAGGCAGGAAAAACTTTCCTAAGATCCTACAAAGAAAACTGGTTTTCTCTAGGGCATGAATTTATTGTTTTCTTCTGAAAATTTCATAACTCTCTTTCTCAAGGTACCTAAAGAGGCCAAAGGTTAGCATTTAAACACGGGTAAAGAGCGAATCCCATTGCCTACAACCGTGGCGTTCAGATAAGCACACCAGGGTCGCAGCTTGGTCCTCTGGCAAGAAACCTCCCGACACCAGCGCCGCATGCTGCTCAAGTGAAAGTCTGGACAGGCTTGCCCTTATAGAATTCCTTACAGGGTTTTCTTTTTAATATTTGCTACAAGCTTAGAAACCTCAAGGAATGTGTGCTTCACTAGAACAAAATCTTTCTCATTTCTTGTGTCTGATATCATCAGGTTAAATATTTATGTTTTTAAATGCACTTTGAATTAAATATAATGACTACACCACCCCTCTTGCCCCCTTGTAAAAGTCACTAGTAACAGCGACACTACCAAATCCCATGGTCAAGTCCCAGTCCTCACCTTACTTGTTTCATAATCAGCATTCGAAATGGTTGATCATTCCCCAAATCAACTTTTTCGTCTATAGTCACTTCCTTGGTGATCTCATACAGGCTGCAAATAACACCTATAGGAGATGACTCCCAAATTTATTTAGCTGGCTCAGGCCTTTGTCCAAAATCTCATACTTGTATGTCTCATTACCTTCTCATTGATTTCTGATTTCTAAAACCCAACATATCCAAAGCTGGATCCTTGGTCTTCCTGTCAAAACCTACTACCCCTATACCTTTCCCCAGCTCAGTAGATGGCAACTTTAGCTTTCTAACTACTCACACTAAATACATCTCAAGTTTATCTTTGACCCTTTTCTTTTTCCATAAACCACAACCAATATATATCCTGTTAGCTTTGCCTTCAAGAAATATCCAAAATCAAATAACTTGTCATTGTGCGTCACTATCATTCACCTCTCAACTTGATTATTTCAAGGCTTCCTAATAGGATTCCCTTTGCCTCACTCCAGTCTCTTCTCAAACAAAAGCTCAGTGATTCCCTTTACAATGCAAGTCAGGTCGTGTCACACCTCCTTTAGGTTCTGCATTTCTTTCAGTGTAAAACCCAGATCCTTATAATGGCTGATGTGGTCCTTCATGATATAATCTGTAACTTCGTCTTCTACTTCTCTTCCCCTCATTCTGTACCAGCCTCCCAAACTTGCCAGGCACATTTTCTCTCTAAGAGCTTTGCAGTGGCTGTTTCTTCTGCCTGGAATGTTTTTTATTTTGATTCTGAATGGCTAAGTTCCTCATCCCTTTTGCTTACATCTCACCTTCTCACTGAAAGCTGTGCTTATGATCCACTTCCTCCCAACCTTACACTCCTGAGTCTTCCTTATTCTGCTCTACTTTTTTTTTGTTTTTTCTTTTTTAGTACTTACTGCTTTTTATATATATTATATAGTTAACTTATTTATTATTTTTTTGATGGCTCCCTTCTCTAAAGTAAGCTCTGTAAAGGCAGTGATCTCTATTTTGTTCAAGCATAGAACTGTGTCTAGCACATGGTGGGTACTCAATAAGTATTTCTTGAATGAATAATAGGTCCAGTAATTCCTTACATTTTAAAAGCACTTTATAATTTTTCTACTTTTCTACTTTTTCTCATGGTTTCACATCGTATCCCACTGTATTATAATCATAATTAGCATATAATATGGGTCAGACAATATAGAGTCATTTAGAGAGAATAAGTCATTCAAAGAAGCAAAATAATCTACCGAAAGTCACACGGTTGGAATGTGGATGAACCAGGAATCTAGTTATGTACTCTCTTCTCCTGCCTTCTAACATTATTCTGCAAAGCCCCCATGCCCTCAAGGGAAGAAAGACCTCCCAAATTCTCTATTAGTACAGAGACATGCCCTGCTTCTGCCATTAGCCTAATGCCTCAAAGCCAGTGTCTCACCAGCTCATGGGAATACACACACATGAAGTCATCTGAAGACTGAATTTATATAGGGAATCGCCATGTGAATGTCAGAGAAAATGATGCCATTCCCAAATGGCACTCTCTCCAAGAAAGCAACATTTGAATACACCAGCTGCTCCATGGAATATATCATTTGTTTCTTCATAAGCAGCTCAGTCTTCCTCTTGCACTGCACATTAAACCAAACAGTTATGCAAAACAATTTAACAGTACAGAGGGGGAAATTATAGTCCAAGAAGACATCTGCTACTGAATGTGCATCCTAGTGGCCTCTTCCACCATGCCACCATTTAAGCCACTAGCTGCCAAGGTTAAAAGCTCACCCCCACTACCACTGCCACACAAGAAAAGTGGTGATTGTCCCTTTAAATCTACCACCATAGAAGAAGCTGGTGTTTACTTGGCAGGGGGAAGCAGAATACTTCATATTTGACATATTGTTCTCATTGGCATCCAATCCAGAAGCTGATATATTCTGTAAGGGTGGCAATTGTTTTGTCCTCAGGATAACATAGTGGAAGATACAACTATATTTACATACAGGCTTTTTAACAGAGATGCCTGTCACCCCTAGTAAGCTCACAGGAGGTGACAGAAATTGCATAGCTGGGAAAAGACCTGCCAAGTCTTCACTTCCTTCTGGCAGCTCAGTCAGTATCAGAGATGGAGGAGGTCTTGGTCACTTTTCTGGGTTTCCAAAATGTCCTTATCACAAGAATGTCCCTGGTAACACTCCCAAGAATTAACTAAATAGACCAGTTTGTCTTGAGTGTCCTTAGCCTTTAATCATAATAAATCAAGTGTCTGAGGTTTGACTCTACTACCAAGTCAGCTCTGCTGTCAGGCTCAACAAACATCCCCAAATGAAACAGCAAGCATCATTTCAATAAATGAACCTCAGGCTGAAAACAAAAGTGTCAACACAAGCACAATATACCAAATGCTTCATGGACTTCAGATAATAGATGCACACAAACATCACTGAGCGAGAAGACACATATAAGCTTATCCATGCAGGCATGTTCTGTAGTATTTGACACTGGGGAAGTAGGGAGGGTGGGAAAAGATATTTTTAGGGAGGGAAATAGTGGATTTGAAGCCAGAGAAAACCAGGTTCAAATCTAATACATGTTCTCTTACCTTGAGCAGATCACTTAAGCTCACTATGACTCGTTTTCCTGATCTGAAAATAGGATAATGATAATACTTTAAGCAAGCATTACTTTTGTGATGTAGACAAGTGTTAATTATGGGGGTTGAAAAATAAGAGTGTGACTTTTGAATTCAAACATACATTTAAATTCTACCTCTGACACTAACTGTATAGCATTGAGGAAAGCTCTTATTCTCTCTAAGGCTGAGTTTATTCACCTGTATACTGAGGATAATGATGACACCTACTCAAATGGATGCTATAATAATCAAATGAAATAATGTTCAAAATGTGTTTAAAGAAGGTGTAGTATATACACACAATGCAATACTACCCAGTTATAAAAAGAAATGAAATTTTGTCATTTGCCACAACATGGATGGAACTAGAGGGCTTACACTATGTCAAATAAGTCAGAAGGACTTTACAGGATCATTTTACCCATATATGGACTATAAAGAAACAAAATGAGGAACAAATCTAAACCAAAATTAAGTCTGGAAATATGACTGCATAATTGAAGGAGGGAAGGTGAAGTGGGGAAATAAATGGATGAGGGGACCCAATTGCCTGTGGTGGAGGATTGTGGGTGCTTTGGTTATTGGCATAATAGCTCTAAAGAGGTGTGCACCTAGTCCCCTAAATCATATAGTGCAATAAGCCAATGTTGCCCTAATAAAAATAAATGTTACTGAACAAAAAATAAATATGTTTTGTAAATCATAAACTGCAAGGTACAGAAAAGTTTTCTTTAAAAGGCCTTGACTGGAGTGACCAGAATCTGCTCTGTCAGGGACCAAAAGATTTTCTAGGACTTTCAGGACTCCATATAGAAAGTCTTTGGCAAATTGCTCTGAGTTGGTGACCGTGGTCTTGACTAGCCCTAAACAAAATCAAGGGCCTAAATAGGTCTTAGTTGGAATGACTAGGCCTTAACTAGACTTAGTCTCTGGCTTCACCTTCACTACACTTTGATGAAGCATTAACTAGATATGGGCACTGACTAAACCTTAACTACACTCTGACTAGGACATAACTAAGTTTAACCGCTTCTAAGCTTTAACTGGGCTAGATAGGCCTTAACTGGATCCTAAATAAGGTTACACCTTAAAAGAGACTCTGAGTATGCCTTCTCCAGACTTAGTCTTGGCTGGGCCTTAGTTATACTCTTACTAGATGTTAGCCAAGATCAGTCCCTGGCTAAGTTAAATGGGCTCTGACAAGGATTGAATTAGACTTAGACCTGGCTAAACAAGGATTATTAGGCCTTAGTCTTAGACCATGGCTAGGCCTTAACTAGAGTCTGACCAAGCTTTCACTAGATTAGGACCTGACTAGACCTTAACTAGGCCCAGGCCCAGGCCTTAACTGACTAAGTCTTCTCTAGACTTAGACCCCAGATAAGCCTTAGCTATGATTTGATTAGTTTTTAAACATACTTAGTTCATGGCTAAAACTTATCTGGGATCTAAATAGACCTTACGTAGAATTAGCCCCTGACGCTAGACCTTAACTGAACTAACCAGGCCTTACCTAGGCTTAGGGTCTTTCCAGCCTTTTACCAGACTCTGACTATGCCTTCTCTGGTTTTAGGGCACTGCTGGACCTAAACTAGACTCTGACAAGATCTTCACTAGTCTTTGGCACTGGTTAGGGCTTAACTGGGTTCCAGCTAGGTCTAAACTATTTTAGACTCTCACAAGGCCTTAACTGGGTAAGCATTGACTAAGCCCAAGCTAAATCTTAACTAAGCCTGACTAGGTCTTAACCAGCCTGATAAAACCTTAACTGGATTTTGGACATGAATAGGCCTTAAATAAGTTATCTAGGCCTTAATTGTCCTAACTGACCCTTAACTTGTCTCAGCTCTTTCTTATATTTTAACTAGACTCTTGGGTCCTGATTAGAACTTCACTAGGTGTAGCCCCTGACTAAGCCTTAACTGGATTCTGACTGTGCCTTAATTGGGAGATATGAAAATCTGTGACAGTCCTCCAAGAGTGTGGCATAAGCAGGGGGCTGAAAAGAAAGAAATAATAATAATTGTATAAAACCTCTGCACTATGACCATGTTCATGGGGAAAAATAAAAATGGACCCTTCATGGGGACTCTTTTGTAGTAAATAATTGAGAAGGGGTGAAAATAGCCAAATGTTCATGACTATCCAATGCAACAAAACTTCTGTGAGTATTTATTTATAGTAATCCCTGGGGGTAGTAGGAATGATAATGCTTAATAGTTCACCTTCTGGGAAAAAGAAAAATATCGGATGGTTTCACTCATAGGAGGAATGTAGGGGAACCAAATAATGGATCGGGGGGAAAAAATAGCAACAACAACAATAATAATAGTAATAAACAAAATTAGCAGGCAACCATAAATCAGAGACATTCTGCAAGGGAGGGATCAAAACAGGGGGAGAAGAGCACAAGGGACTATGGTGATGGTTCATAGGTGAACTGGTGGTGGGAGTTTTACGGGAACTACACAATGATGTAAAATATATAAATTAAAAAAAATAAATTTAAAAAGATAAATGAAAATAGTTCACCTTCTGGCAACAAAATAGCTAATTCTTTCATGTAAACGAGCTATCTGTAGCAAGCAAAAATAAAGTTTAGTCTCTTGGAAGCAAAACACTAGGCGGCTCCCTCTGATTTATTCTCCCTGATCCAATGGTAGGAGGGAGTTAACAAACAGGGACAGTCAGGGGAATTCCAGGTGAGAACAGGAAACAAACCTGCTTCAAGGCCAAGGAATTCCCAAGATTGTTCAGGGCTTCCAACCATCACTCAGTTAAATCTAGGAAGATGCCAATTGGTTTGCCTCCCTCCTTCTTATCCCCTCCTCAAGGTGATATAGAAGCAATTAATAATACCATAGGGAACGACTCTTCTGTGATACCTAGACTCTCTAGGTAGGTGTAGTATAATCTTTGGTGTCTTCTATCCTTCCGTAAGATCCTGCAGAGACGAATTATACCCTTCACTCAAAGCCTGCTGGCAAGCTAAGTATGGCTAATGACCTCCAATATCCACAGAGATGGAAAATGGCTTCATCGTTTGATTTGTCAATGCCACAGAATTCAGAAATTCAATTTCACACAATTAATGTCAGACTGTCTATTCTAATAGTTCTTTAATTATTTTCCAGAATGTTATTTACCTTCTGAACTAGAAAGAATATGGTAATTAAAAGAAATCTCACTGTATGAGGAAGAAAATAGGTTTTCTAGCTTCTCCCTTCTGCTCCTACCTCTACCATCACCACCAACACCACCTCATCATCCTGGAGAGGCACTAGACTAGATAATTAAATAGCATTAGCATAGTGAATAAAAGCATGGGCTTTGGAGTTGTACAGATTGAAGCTTGAATCACAGCTCTGTCACCTTTAGGCCCTTGGCATAAATGGCTTAACCTCACGTACGCTCATGTAAATGTGAGTTCCTGCAAAAATAGAGAATGGACACTAAACATACCTATTTCATGGGCTGTGGTGGGGCTGAAATCCAAGAATACATGGAAAATCCTTGGGTCAATACGTTAAAATGCTCCATTAAGAACCAAGAAGAGTGAGCTATGCTTTGAGCGACCTCACTTATTTTGTTCACATCACTTATTTTGTCTTAAGGGTCTTTATCAGGTACTCACTAAAATTGTACTGACTAGTTTGTTGGATTTTCCCATAGAGCAGTAGTAAGAGTCACAGGGCAATAGCAAAGAAACTTATAAGTCTGTAAAATGGTGAGAGAACAGAGAAAGATATCAGAGTTTTTCCTTATCTGTATCCTCAGTCCAGTGTAACATGCATCTATTCATGCCTTGTGGCCATAATAAAGGGATGTCTTCCTGAGACCACAGACCCCATTGTGATACATAAATGTGTCAGGGAGACACCTTAGGTTTAACATAATTAGAATGAGAGCCAATGACTTCTGGGTTCTCTGTTTGGCTTGGGCACCAAAGTCTTGTGTACCTTTATTTTTTACATTCCCTCTGTGATTTCGCCAACCTCTGGTCAATCTCTTAGGAGGCTACCAATATTGTAATATTTGAATGATACTTTGAAAATGATAAGTATTATTAACTACTAGCTGCACTTTGCAAACAAATTAATAGTATTTCCCTTACAGTTGTGGAAACATTGCCAACCACTGCTATAAGTAAGATCTCTGGCTTTTCTTTGATATTCAGGTTCATAAGGGAAACAATGACATCATTTCATTACTTCCCAAGTACTGAGTCATTTACTCACTCCAGGAAGAGATAGAAAAAGGAATGAGGTTAAGGGTCTCAGAACTGAAAGCAAGCAAGCAAGGAAGGCAGGTTCTACATCTCTTTATGGTGGCTGTGAATGGGACACAGATGCTTCTCAGTAGGGATACCTTTGAATTGCCCTGCTGAAGGAAGAAGGGAATAAACAAGCCAGACCAGACTCACCAAGAGCAGTGGGTTCCAAGTGAGTGGACCCCCCACCCCCAGGCTGAGGGGCATTTGACAATGTCTGCAAACACTTTTGATTGTGGCATCTGCTGGAACGGGGTAAGGAAGTGCTGCTGGCAATTGATAGATAGAGGCAAGGGATACCACAAGACATCTTACAAGGCACAGGATCTTCTCCCAGACCAAGACTTATCCAGCCCCAAATGGCAATAGTGTTGAGATTGAAAAAAATCTGACCAAGAGAATCTCTCCATCCTTCCCAGCCTAACAGCAATCAAATATTCTTGAAATATCTTTCTCTCCCATAAGGAAACTTAGAATCTAATAGAGAGACCAACCAGCACAGAAAATAAAGATGTATATCAGATTGTTATTTCCCCCAAAAAACAGTATATCACATACTTATCCCTCCCCATAATGGGATATAGCTGATGGGTGCTTTGGAAACTTTGAGGAGAACAGCAGGCATGGCAGTTGTTCAGGAAAACTTCAGAAGTGTTGGAATCTTCAGCTGGTACTGGAAGAAAAAAAAAAAAAAAACCTCTTTCCTGTTCCCTCAAAGTTGGA